GTAAGATTAATTTCAAATCTGTATTACAATCAACGAGCCTCAGTGGAAATAAGACAGGAAAAATCTGCTGAAATGGGAATAAATAGAGGGGTCAGGCAAGGATGCATATTGTCGCCTTTATTATTTAATGCGTACTCCGAGCAAATTATAATAGAAGTATTGGAAAATGAGACCGCTGGTATAAAAGCAAATGGAGCTCTAATTAACAACATCAGATATGCAGACCACACAGTAATAATAGTCGGCAGAAGGTGTAGTGCAAATTATGGACTCTCCCTCAATATCAAGAAAACCAAATTTATGAAAATTTGTAAGAACAACAACACAAATGAAATTTTAATGGTTGGAGGTCAACAGATTGAAAAAGTTAAAAGAAACATTTACTTAGGGACAATTATTACAGAAAACAATGATTATACCGCAGAAATAAAACCAGAATTGAAAAAGCTCGTACCAACTTTATAAAAATGAAAAAAGTCCTTTGTAGTGAAGAGCTGATGTTAAGGCTTAAACTAAGATTGACAAAATGTTATGTCCACAGTGTGCTTTATTATGGGGTGGAAGCATGGACACTGAATGCAGATACAATGAGACGAATCAACTCTTTCGAGATGTGGACCTATAGGAGAATTTTGAGAATTTCTTGGGTAGATCGAATCACAAACATTGAAATGCTGAAAAGAATTGGAAAAGAGAAAGAGGTTAAAACTACAATTAAAGAGATAAAGTTGCAGTATCTGGGACACATAATGCGGGGCCAGAAGTACAGTCTTCTACGACTATTAATGCAGGGAAAAATAGAAGGCAAGAGAAGCGTAGGCAAGAGACGAGTTTCATGGCTGAAGAATCTGAGGACTGGTTTGAATGCAGCTCAAAAGATCTGCCTCAAAAGTCAGGATTGCGACAATGATTGCCAACCTCCGTCGCGAAGATGGCACTTGGAGAAGAGAAGTATGGGTTACGAGGCCTATTTTATCAAATCATTTTACACCGTCTTACATTGTTATCATCAGTTAGATAACATGGTGCTGAAACGCTCTTGCGCAAGGAAATTGATGGGGGTGGGGATTCCGCTGATAAAAATGTTTGAGAAACGGCCATTAAATATGTACTTTTTCCCGAAAAAACGTCTTGCATTGATGTATTGCTATTTCTTAACATGTATTCTTTCGGCGGACTTAAGCATGAAGTGGTATAAAATGATTTTCCAGTCCCTTATGAGACAACGCATTGACCTCCGTTCTTGCAACCCGTTATCCCTCCACAGGTCGTCTTGCATCAGTGGCCATCTACAATTTAAATCAACAATGGAGTGGTGTAATATGATATTTCACCCTTTTCAAAAATTGACAATTTCTATCTAATATAACTACCCCAAAACCCCCCATGAAAACGCCTTGCATAGGTTTATCCAATTGTGTTTGTATACAAATTAACTTAATAAGTAAATGCAAGACGGTCTATATTTTCCTCGTTTATGACAACATTTATTCAAACATTTATATCAGCGAAATTCCCCACTTCCATCAATTTCCATGCCCAAGTGCGTTTCAGCACCATGTTATCTAACTGATGATAACAATGCAAGACGGTGTAAAATGATTTGATGAAATAGGCCTCGTATCTCGTACTATGCCAAGCCCTGCAGTAGAAACGCCTGCACTACGTGGGGCAAAGTTTCCTGGAGGACCTGAAAGACGTGGGAAAAATAGGGACAATGGAATTACTAAACTGGCATCAAACGAAAAAAGGAGGACCATGTTAAAGATTTGTGATGGAACCATCCTGACAATGAGAAAATAGGCCTCCGAGTGCAATCTCTACAGTTGTAGGGCAAACCCTTTAAATCCTAACCTAACCTAACCTTTAAGTTTCCAAAGATAGCTCAAACTTCTGGAGAATAATACATGATCTTACATCATTCTCTGCCAAATGGGTCAAAGATCCGAGCGAATTTTTGCTCCACAGGATGGGACAAAGATATCATTTTTCCATTTCTTGAATTATTTTTGTTTGAAATCATACAGGAAGGTACCTTTTCCCTTATTTGGAAAAATTGTAAAAAATCTGGAAACATCGCATGGATGTGTCCCCAGGGATGACCCGCTAAACCTCATTTCACCAGAATCTTCGAGAATAGAATTAAACCTTAATGGAATAATCTAGCGGATTATGTGACACAGTGATGAATGTTTTTAGGTTTGGAAAACTTCAAGGCAGATTAAATAGGTAGGTACTAATTCAATTCAAAATTCAAGTGGTACATTTTGTTGAAATAGATATATTTAAAATACCATTAATGACGTTAGACTTACATGTAATGTAAGATAAAGTGTTTAGCTTTCACTTGAGTCTACGAAAATTCCCTGCAGACAGGTTATGGCCCCAGGGACTAGTTAAGTATTGAATAAGTTTTTTCGAAGTTGTTGCCTTCATTGGATTTTCAACCAGCCAGAATGTCGACCGCTTTACCGCCCATTGAAAAATTGCAAGGGCGTGAAAATTTCGATAGTTGGAAATTCGCTGTGAACTTATCTGGAACATGAAGAGCTGTGGGACTGTGTTACAGGAACCGAGACAGATTTGAAAAAAAATTACCAAAGCTAAAAGAAAGATTATTCTATTAATAGAATAGATATAATTTAACTATGTTCATGTTCAAAGCGTCACTGATGCAAAAGGTGTTTGGCTAGCTTTAACAAATGCTTTTGAGGACAGGGGATTCACCCGTAGAGTCGGGCTGGTACGAACTCTGATAACAGGAACTGGAAGAAAGTGATCTGTTGAAGATCATCTAAACAAGATTGTCAGTACAGCACACAAACTTTCTAGTGTTGGCCTCACTGTAAGTAATTAATGGGTCGGAACAATCCTTTAGCCGGATTACCCACTAAATGTGAATCTATGATAATGGGTACAGAAAGAGTACCAGTAACCGGAGACTCGATAAAAATTAAGTTACTACAGCAACAGATTTTCAAATAAATACAGAAACAGTGGAAATTCTAGTGCAGGAAATGCTTTAAGCAATAGAAAAAAAACAGTTCGTTTTTTTCAGTGCAATAAATATGGAAAAGAAAAACATTTTTTTAATTCTCCCGAAGCTCAAGAGGTCAATGACGTTGATGATGGTGACTTATCTTTCGAGCACGAGTCATCTTCTACATCACACTCTGATGTCGAAGAACAGCATGAAGGTGACCCAGAAAACTATGAAGAAAATTATCCAGATGTAGATCTAGACCCAGATTTTAGACCGCATCAGAATGGAGAGGTTCCAGCTCAAAGATTAAGAAGATCTGGAAGAGTCAGAAAGTTACCTAAAACTCTCGACGATTATGAAGTTAGTTTTGCTACTATGATTGATTTTTCTGATTCTGAAATCGTCGAAAACGCTATAAGTAGACCTGATTGTGATAAATGGCGTGAAACTATGAATGAAGAATATTCAGCGCTCATGGAAAACAACATGGTGCAATTGTAAGATATAAGGCAATACTAATAATTAAAAGCTGCAGTCAGAAGAAAGGCATTGATTAAGAAGAGATCTAATCCCCAGTTGTGAGGTATACATCTATTAGATATTTACTATTGCTATAGCAGCAAAATTTGATGCTGTAGCAGCTACAGCTTTTTTGTAGGGTGATCTTACCAAAGAGATTTATTTGATACAGCCGGAAGTTTTTTCAGAACCAACCAAGATTTGCAAGCTCAGAAAATCTTAAACAGGCCAGCAGAATATGAAATTTGAAATTAGATGGATGTGATTTGACTCAGTCCAAAACTGATTCATGCATTTATTTTAAGTTTACTGCGTCATTGATACTAATTGTAGCTATCTTCATGATATGATTAAAAATCAGTTAATGGGAGAAGCCAGATTTGAACTAGGCAAGCAGATTACACGTTATAGGGAGAATAAAAAGATATGGTAAGATCGAAAGTTATACATAGAAAATATGCTGAAGAAATACATGTTTAAGTGTAATCCAGTAGATACTCCAGTTTTGCTTGGTGAAAAATTATCCAAAAGTATGTCACCAAGAACGCAAGAACTGAAGCTGAAATTGAGAAAATGTGCAATGTACCATACCAAGAACTCGTAGGAAGTCTACTTTTTGCAGCACAATTATCAAGTTCTGATATAAGAATATATCAGTGTGAATAATACCAGTCGATTTACACAAAATCCATTACATATTCACTGGACTGCAACAAAACGTATTCCCAGATATTTAAAGGGTACCATGATTTACAGAATAGAATTTGATGGTACTGACAAGAAGAGAAGTGAAATTGTTGGCTATGCAGATGCTGATTGGGCCAGCAACATAGACGATCGTAGATCAGTGAATGGATACGTTTTCCCTAAAAATGGTACAGCTTGGGCAACTAAAAAACAAGTCACTGTTGCTCTTTCCACAACAGAAAGTGTGTATATGAATATGAGCATGGCGGCACAAGAGCTGGCCTAGAACATTAAGTGAAAAATTTAAGCAATATAAAACTGCAACAGTTTTGAATATGTACAATCAAGGAGCCATAAATTAAGCAAAAAATGGGGCCTACCATGCAAGAACCAAACACATAGATGTAAGACATCATTTCCTCAAAGAGAAGATGGATGAAAAATTATTACAAATGAGATAAGTCTGTACAGAAAAGCAAATAGCCGATTCTCTGAATAAAGCTGTTGATAAGAAGAAAACTGATTTGTGTGCGAAGAATCAAGGTTTAGGTTATTTCAAATAGAGGGGTTGTTGAAATGTATTTAAAATACCAGTAATGACGTTAGACGTACATGTAATGTCAAGATATTAGTTCCAAATCGGACTTTTCCCTTCAATTAGATACTTTTAACTTAAGAGTTTCAAAAAAGGACCAAATGAGTAGAAATAATAAACGGATAACCATGCTCTTCAGGAATAAATAATAATAGGATAATACGTCCATTCATGCTATACAAATATATACTTAGTTCACTTCACTACTACTACCACCTATTGTAATGGTTTAATTGTTTCTCCTTTCTCAAAGTTTTTGGCTTTCTCAAAGAATGTTCTGTTTGAATTTACCATTCGTACACTGTTGACAGTTTGAGCAAGTAGGTAACGGTTTTGTGTCACTTTGAGTTAACATAAAGTACTCTAAAATTGAAAGGTCTAGGTACCAAATTACTTACTTGTAACTTTGTGAATGACGTGGGCGACTCTATATTAATTGCATCTCTACAATCTCCCATGGGGGAATAGAGATCAGTTGGTCTGGGAAGTTCTGGAGGTGTAACTGAGTCTCCACCTGTTTCAATTTTTGATACTATAGAAAAAATAACATTTTAAGAAACTTTGCTTTTATTACTAGTTTTGAGAATGGAATGAAAAATGGGTGTCCGTGAGTCGTGATTTTCATTTTAAACTAATATGGAATTTCATGTTATAGAATCCTTGAAACGTTTTGGAATGTGGAAGAAAATAAATAAAACAGGTTAGCAGTGTTTTTAAAATAAAATTGGCACAGGTGAAAATAAACACATACACATTGCTAATAAAACTAAGAAATTTATTAAGACAGACTATAAACAAAAATACTACAAAATAAACAACAATAACAATTAAATTAATTTTGCTCTAAGACATATAAAGCAATGAACCAAATATTGCAAAAAGGAGAAAGAAATCTTCAAGACATTTATTATTTCAAAGCCGGCTGCTAACCAAGCCAAATTGGCTACTTATTTGTTAACATACACATAAAAAAACTGAGCTTTAAATAATTTAAATTACCTAAGACTATATTACGTGCAAATCCATTTTTTGTGCTTTTTTTTATTAAAATTGAAACTTACTTTTTAATACCTAAATTTAAAAAAAAAACATGATACACAACTATGATACACGATGAAGAAATAACCTATGAACCAGCATTTGCACCAAATATTCAATTGTGAAACTTTTTGAAAATGTAAGTGAAAGTTGTAGTCAATGGTTCACATTATTGAATGATGCAAAATGGAGAAAAATAAAACAAAACTAAACTAAACCTATAATCTAATAATTACAACTACTACTAATAGCTCTATCTAATCTATAATTCTCCATACAAAAATATTAATCTAAACATAGGACGGAAGTTATATTGATACTATAACTATAGGCACATAAAAAATTAAAATAGTGTCTGTTTATACATTATCAAAGTGTCTAAATGTAGTGAAATGTTTGTTGTGATTGTGACATTGACCAGGGTGTCGGTGATGGCATTGACACGAACACTCACCTCTTGGGGTATTGAGAATATCTGGTTGTCTTTTAGAATCGGATATTCCTGTCGGATTGTCATGCGAAGGGTATGAAGGCGAACAGTCTGCTGCTGGCTTGAGGGTATATGCTACCACATAGCGATTATCACCTGAAATAAATACTATTCCATTATAACTGAAGGAAAATCCTAATCGATCCTTACCAGTATTGATTTCTAACATTGATCCTTGTCTTGATTTCGAATTGGGTTTTGATGCATCCAAAGTAATATGGTGTGGACAATGATTGGCTCCACCACAGTGACGTTTCCTTCTTATAGCTATCACTACTATAACTAGCACAGCAATTCCTAGGGTAAGCAACGCCCCAGTTAATAGTCCGGCTAAAGGAACCAGGCTCATGTTGGAACTTCCATCTGAAAAATAATAATCATCTTACTGATAAATCATCACGATCGAGGGGGTGCGATGGGATGAAATAATAATTCAACCCTTGAGCCCAAATTGACGTCCGGCAATTATAAATAACAAGTTTGGCAAATTCGCTTGGTCGGGAAATTTCGGCCGCATTTCATTTTATAATATGAGCTTCATTATCGAACTGGCATTAATTATCGATGTCGCTCTTGATAAACGTAGCGAACTGGAATAATGTGCAGACATTGCATCGGAAACCGATGGTGTAGGGTTCGACAATGGCAAATTATTAGGACTAAACTTATTTTGGAATTAGACACAATTTGGAACGTTTAATTACAACTTTTTGTTCCCTCATAAATTTCAAATGGGAAGATAGATAGGTGTAGTCTTATTTTTTGCCTTTTTCCTTTACTGTCACGGCTCTGGCGTGCGTGACAAAAATATTGGGTTCGTTTATTCCAAAATCAAAGTCCAATTGACAGAACAATAATTTATTCCACGTTACTACACACTCTGGCAATAATTATTTCACTAATTAACTCAAACAACTTAACTCTTTACAATATTCACTATCTAAATCATATCACATCGAATCTTAAACTTAAAACCACTAAATAATAATTTTTCCTCTTGACTATTCTGTAGGGTCCTTCCCATGCTGAAGACAATTTCGACGACACTCCTTTCTTTCTTGTTGGATTATTCAGCCACACTAAATCATCTTCTTGAAATCCGAAATTGACTTTCAAGTCGTATCTGGTCTTCATCCAGTCACTGGCCAGCTGGATATGCTCCCTAGCAAAATCATGTATCCACAGAAGTCGTGCTTTTACTTCGTCGGCATAATCTCGAATTTCTTTCCGTTCTTCTTCAGGTATTCTAAACATCAGATCGCAAGGTAACCTGAGTGCCCTTCCAAAAACGATTCTAGCTGAACTTTCACCTGTTGGTTCGTGAACAGCTCTATAAGCCATTAAAAATAGAGGCAAGTGTTTATCCAAATCTCGCTGGTTCTTTGCGACCACTTTTGTCAGGTGTTCCTCCATGGTCGTATTAAATTGTTCTACCATGTCATCAGACTGTGTATGTAAAGGTGTGGTCCTTGTCTTACGAATGCCCATGATCTCACTAATTTTCTTAAAGATGGCATATACGAAGTTTCGTCCCTGATCTGAATGCAACTCCAGTGACACCCCATGACGACTGAAAACTTCGTCCACTAGCACCTGGGCAATAGTGATGGCTTCTTGATTTGTGAATAGCGAAAACTTCGGGCCATTTACTGAAGTGATCCATGATAACCAAGATGTATTTGTTACCACGCTCTGACTAAGGGAACGGTCCGGCTATATCTATCCCTATTCTTTCAAATGGGAGACCGACGTTGTTGTAGGTACTGTTTCATGGGCCCCCGAGATCTTAGTTTGGGGCCTTTACTGGTAGCACAGATGCATTTTTGGCACCAGTTTTCAACATCTTCATGATAGTGAACCCATTTAAAACATTCCCGAATTTTGTCCAACGTATTGTTAACTCCAAAATGTGCCCCTGAAGTTCCGTCATGTATTTCTTTTAATACATCTTTTACTCGATCTTCTGAAATAACCAGTTGGCTCTTAGTGGACTTCCCATCAGCACTTTTCCAAACTCTTTCAACTAAACCTTTTTCTACGGCCAGAGAGCTCCACTGAGGATACAACGTCTTGTGAATCAAGCTGTTGTTCGACACTTCCCTCCATTCTAGCCTACATTCATCCTTTTTTTTAGGATGTAGAATTTGATCGATGTCCTGGTTCGCTTCTTGATCTGCTCCCATTTGTTTGGTAGTCCATTTATCATCGACGATAAGATCCGTTCTTCTCACAGCCGTACCAGTATTTTTGCAGTCTTCTTTGCATAGCCGTCTAGACATACCGTCAGCATTTTTATGCAAGTTTCCAGGTCGATGTTTAATCTGGAAATCGTATTGCTGCCATTTCTCGATCGATTTAGCCAGCTGCCCTTCAGGAGTTTTTATTTCTAAAAGCCATTTTAGAGCTGCGTGATCTGTTCGAATTAGAAACATACGTCCATAGAGATACTTATGGAAATGGTCGACTGCTTTTACTATGGCAAGCCACTCTCTTCTGTTGACACAATAATTTCGTTTCGACTTTGATAAGGTTCTGCTATAGTACTCTACGACATGCTCTTGTGAATTTTGGATTTGTGAAAGGACAGCTCCAATACTGGTGTTGCTTGTATCTGTGTCCAAAATTAACATGCCTTCCTGATCAGGATAGGACAACACTGGGCTTGTACATAATGCTCCTTCTAATTTTCTGAAAGCGGAATGTTCTCTATGTAAATCCTTGCAAAACAAGATGAATGAGTCGCTCAAACGTAGCTGGGGCATTACACAATCCGAAAGGCATTATGTTAAACTGGTATAACCCTAGCTTTCGGTGCTGAAGGCAGTTTTCTCTTTGTCATCTTTGTGTATTGCCACTTGCCAGTATCCAGTTTTCAGATCCTGGTCTTTGCTTGGAGTTCCAAATACGCCGGTGAAGTCACAAATTGGATAACTAGCTTTATTCTCGAATAGAATGTTCTAAAATTTTCTTGAAATGTCCTTTCTGAATGTTGATTGATGTAGCAAACACGTCGGTGAAGTCACAAATTCAATATCTTCTTGGGTTTCCAAATAGAATGTTCTAGAATTATCCCGAAATTCTTCGAAATTCTTTTTCTGAATGATGATTGATGTATCAAATACGTCGGCGAAGTCTGAAATTCGATATCTCCCTTGGTTTTCAAATAGAATTTTCTAGAACTTACATAAAAATTCACTATCACTGTCAAAATCGGGTATACAGTCACTTCCGGGCTAATTTACACAATCGGTTAAGTCTCTTTTGGTGATTGCCACTGCTTACACTGACTAAGTGTCCCAGTGATCATTATAGTGTCCACACTAGTGTCCGCGCACTATTTCGCTCACTTTGCAGTCCTCGAATTATATCTCACTTCCGACACAAATGTCACGGTTCTTGGGTGCGTGACAGAAATCTTGGGTTCGTTTATTCCAAAATCAAAGTCCAATTGACGCAACAATAATTTATTCCACGTTACTATACACTCTAACACTAATTACTTCACTAATTAACTCAAGCAACTTAACTCTTTACAACTCTTACAAAATTCACTATACAAAACGTATCACAGTCAGTCTTGAACTTAAAACTACTAACTAATACTGGCCTTTATCTATTCGTGTAGAATCCAGAATAAGCGCGATAATCTTTTTTGCCTGAATAACACTGAAAAATCTAGAATCAGCAGTCCAATCCTGTACATCATGGCGGAAACGCCATATTCTGTGACAATATAAACATTTGTACTTAGCGCATCATGTAGATACTTGCAACCTTCAGTTTCCTCTTCTTGATATTTCAAGGCGGAATTCGATATCTACGAAGTGGTGGGCTTACTTGCGATTTTGCTGAAATTCAGCGAGGATGTTGGACGAATAAACTTAAAATGGTTCCAGAGTGTTCCAGCTAAGTTCCATAAGTAGGTAGGTACCTAAGTATTCGAGGCTATCATAGAAATTACGATGTAATTATGACATACTCACATACTACAGTTAATTGCTTCTTCGTAATATAAGATTGTTGAAAGTTTATGTTAAAATCAGAAATTTTAGAAAAATATGTTCCGGTTAATTATGTCTTTTTTAGAGAGAGACTCACTTTTCTTCTAATAAAAGCACATGCTTAAAACCTCAGTAGTTCAACGAATAGCTGATGATCCGGTGTTGATCCTAGTTCTGTCACGTTGCCTTTGACGGGAGTCTGATTATGTTACCTTCATTACCGGACCAGTGACGTAATGTGCTATTTTCCGCACTAAAATTGATAACCTAATTTATGCCGGACAGCGAGGAATCTATTAGTGTGACATCCTGTACAATACAAGTACAGAGACAACCTGTATAGCGACTATGAGGCGGCGCATGGCGTTCCAGGAAATAGCTACGACCAGCTACGAGCAACCGAAATCGAGCGACTAGAGGTAGTCTGCTGTACACCGCCTAACAAGTTACCACGCTCGGCATCCACGTCTTGCTATGACGTCATCGTTCGCCTAAATCCCTTATTGTAACGCGATGGACTTAAATATAAAGTATTAATTAACCTGTGATATTAGCCGGTAATAAACCTTGATTTATTAGAATCACGTTTTTTGTCTTTGTTGTCGTACAGACATTTCAATTGGCGAGGAGGATGGAATATCAGCGGTTCTAGCACATAAAATGCCTGATGACTCAGAAAAAATGATAGCCTGCACATCAAGAACTTTGCAACCTAGCGAGAAAAACTACCCAGTGGAGTGTTTGGCGATTTATTGGGGTATGATGAGGCTTTATCAATATTTATATGGCAAACATTTTCTCTTAAGAACGGATCATAAGGCTTTGGTCCCCAGAAAGGTATTCCAGTGATGCACACAAATAGGCTGCAAAGATATATAGGCCGCTTATATAAGTAGTTTTAACTATAAAATAGAATACATTAAGGACAAACACAACGTAATCGCTGATTATTTGAGTAGATCACTGCTTAAAACATATGTAATTTCAGATGAATACGAAAGCAAAGGAAACTACCTGTACTTTACTGCAAGACAAGAGGAATGGCCTATAGATAACCAAGAAATCCAGGAAAACACAGCCAAAGATGACATACTGCAAGAGATAATAATATACATGGCCAAGAGAAATAAAACCAGAAATTCAGTCTTATCATAACAGAAGGGACCAATTGATTTTGAACCAGGGTACAATCTTGTGGGGCCATAGAGTAGTAGTTCCAAAAATCTTAAGAAATCATTTATTAGAGGAACTACATGAACATTATTTTGGCATAGTTAAGACTTAGAGCACGATATTATATATTGACCAGATATTGCGAGGACATAGAAAAGGTATGTAAAAGTTGTATTTATTGTTTACAGA